ACCCTTAAAATGTATTTTTTCCACCATACCAAACCAAAAAGTGATTTTTAATTTTCTTTTCCGTGGTCACATCTAGTCTAACAGCATGCAAGCCCAGTTTTAAACGCACATCAGCAGTGAACTGAGGAGGTTACTCACATTTGAGGGTTTCAGTTTATTTATGATGGTTGTTTTGCCGCTGTTGTCCAGGCCAAGGCACAGAACATGAACCTCCTTCTTCTTCAGCCCAAGCCATCCTGCCAGCTTGTCAAACAATCCCATGGCTGTGGCTCGGATACACAGGGATCACCTGTTGTTCAGGGAATCAGAGCAGGAAATGGCTGTTGGCAAAGCTCTCCAGGCACAGGGCAGGTGGGCATGTTCTGAGCAGCCCTGACACTTTCCAAAGGCCGGTGTGAGGAAGCGAATACACAAACACTGTCGCACACTAAGCACGGGCAGGGTAAGCTGATTACTGCCGAGAGGCCTGGATTCCAAAGTAGACTGGCTGTTTATAGCCTGTCCATGTCACACAATGCCCTTGATTCGCTGGGCAGCCCCAGCAGGAGCACCACCACCGCCTCCTGCCCTTCCACCACACTGAACAACAAAAAAAAGGAGGACTATTGCACTTCACCTCAAATTGTCAGTAGTCCATAATCCAGACAACAAAGTAAAACAGCATTTTTTACTGTGGAGAAGGGAACACCCTTCTCTAGCACCTGCTACATTATTTACTTCAGGGTTCGGTACATTAAGTCAAAAAAAAAAAGTAAATAAAGTACCCTCTGTTAATTCAATTAAAACTCTAATTCTGACAGGTTTAGCCAATATTGACGTGTACAAATTAGGAAGCCCTCATTCACTACAAATAGAAGCTGATTGAAATAGATCCAACAGACATGAAGCCACACCCCATAAAATTCACCTACACATCTGGTAGGTGCCAAACCCCTGCTGCTGCCCAGGCACTGTCTGCAGCTACCTGGCAAAGGAGCTTCCATCACGTGTGCCCTTGCAACACCTGGCTGAGCACGCTTGGCAAAGGGGATAGCCCTTGTCTACCCTGAAAGAATTCCACCAGAAATAATTTCAGCAGTCAGACAACTGAAATATTTGAGATGCCTTCAGTAATAAAGCATTTAATTAATGCCAGAGGAATTTTCTGGAGTGGTGAAGGCTGTTTTTTCTCTTAATAAAAAGTAAACAGGCAGCACTGGATGACTCAGGTTGCGAGCTTAATTACCCCAGAAAATCATAGCAGGAGGGGGAAAAGGAAAAAACCAACATCAATAACAAGCCTCACTTCTTCACTAGCTAATTATAAAATGATGATTAACCACTTTTTAATAGAAATAATTTTAAAACTTTGCATTTAATAAAGTCACAGGAACTTTTTAAATACAGATCCTTTTCAGAGCTTTGCATTTTGATTCAAGACTGGCAGTGATCTATAGAGTGGCTCTCTGTATTACAACTACATAGAGTTCCCACCAGGTTAAACAAGCCCAACATTAGTTAGAGCAATTCCCTCAGCCTAACTCCCTTTATGTCCTATTCGTTTTTGTTTGTTTTCAAGACAACCCTCCACATGCAGGGGAAGGGCCCTGCATGGCTGCAGGCTAGAGCTGGGAACATCCTGGGTTGCAAAATGTGGAATACCTAAAAATTTTCTTAAGAAAGGATGTTCTTTGATGTTTGAGCTTTATACACTTTCAAGCCTAACCAACAAGAAAGAAGATTTAACCTGAAGCAGCTAACAAACAAGCTCTAAGTGGTGTCCAGGAGTTAGAAAAAAATGTACTTATTAGAATTGCCTTGTTCAGGTTTAAGACCCAACATATTTCACTGACCTCAGACCTAGGGGGAGAAGGATGTACCACTGATAGCGCGCACAAAGAATGCAGAGTTTACTGGGTGCAAGGGCCTTTGGCAGAACCCCCAAGAAGAAACTAATAAAGAGAAGAAACTAATGAAGACAACTCAGCAACTGTGCTGAAATCAGCTCCAACTGGATAAAAGGTAATTCTGGCAGGGGGAAATCACAACCACCAATCCCAAACCCAAGACAACCCAAAAGAAGAGAAAGACTAATCGTGAACTAATTAGTATGAGAAGCGAGGGAATCACTGACCAATAGGAGATAGAATAGTAATTAGTAAGAGAACTGAGTACCTTGCAGCCGAAGAACATCAACGCCTTCGTTTGCTAAAACGTATAAAGAGCGAAAAGCTTTGGTAGTAGCCGTGGATTTGCCGCCCAGCGCCCCTTTCTGCGCAGAACTGTAAATAAACTGTAAATAAACCGTAAATAAGCCAAATACCTCCACTCTGCGCGTGAGGATTGGCCTCTTGCACACTGGGCGAGAGAACCTATTTCGGGACAACACCAGGGGGGATGGTCAGTACCATCAGCAGCTGCCAGGACCGAGCTGCCCTCCCTGCAGCATCCCTCCCTCCCTCAAGTATCCCTCTCCCCAGCAGCGCCGCGCTCCCTCACCAAGGCCCCGAGCCGCCCCGGCAGCCGGCAGCGGCCGCCAGCCCCCTCTCGCAGGGCGGCACCGGCTCGGCCCGGGGATGGCAGTGCCAGGGGTGGGAGCGGGCAGGGACCCCCCGCTCCGCCTGCCCCGCTCCCGCAGCACCGACCTGGGCCCGGGACGCGCCGGCCGGGCCCGCGCGCGCCGTTGCCAAGGAAACCGCAGCCCGCCCCCGCCCCCGCCAATCCCGGCCCGCCTCCCCGCCCGGCCCGCCCTTTCCGGCCAATCGCGGGGGCCGGCGCTGCCAAAGCCACGCCTCCGCGTGACGGGGGCTCTGAGGGGAGGGCGGGGACCGACGTGTGTAAACTTCGTGCTTCGTGTCCAGTGCCTGTGGAATTTTATTTTTTTCTCAACCACTGCTTCCTCTTTCTTGCACAGATGCGGCAATAGTGCCCACATGAATAAATAAATAAAATTAAAAATTCACTACCCTTGGGAATCGCCATTAGCATTGGAAGACACGCCTAATAAGAACCGCATCACCCCTGGTGTCCGCAGCGCCTCTCGTTCGGTTTGGCGGAGTACGGAAAATCTCAAATCCACCTGTCACTTGAGCTTTGGGAAGAAAAGCAGCTTGTCCAGGCCGGGCACAGAGCCTGCAAATACACTTCGGAATTCTTTTGTCGCCGCGTAGCATTATCCCGTCAGACTGGTTCTAGGTGTGGTCCACAGAGGCAAAAATAAAAAATTTAAAATGTAAAATGCAAAAAAAAAAAAAAAAAAATCCCAGTCTCTCTTCTACCTCGTACTTATTTTATTTTGCTGCCGAAATCGTCCTCGGTTCTGTAAAAGCGTGTGCTGTGATTTCCCGTGCCATTCCTGCACCGACCAAATGCTGACGAAAAGACTCCGTTTTTTAGCTGGAGCAGTGGCAGGAGTTTCTCCCGCCTTCCCACCTGTGCTGAGGGACTCCCGGGATGCTCATCCCGCACGGCCTAGCAGTGCGAGCCAGCTGGGATAACTCATCCCTTACGATCTGCCTCGCCGCAGTCTGGTATTTCTGGAATTCCACATTTTAAGTGTATTCTTGTGTTTGTCCTTCACTTCTGAACAAAGATAAGCACCGAGCGGGGGTGGAGTGCACGGTTCTGCCTTCACTTCCCAGAAGTTTGTACTGCTCCTTAACGGGAAGAAGCAACTTTCCTTCACCGAGCTCTGCCCCTTTATTTTGAAAATCTCGAATTTATTCAAGTTTCACATATGCTGAATGCAACTTTCCAACTACAGTCTCAACTTCTGCCCTGAAGAGAGGAGGGAGAGCAGAGGAAACAACTGATAGTGAACAGTCCTTTTTGCTAAAAATCTTGTCAGAAGCTCCCATTGACTTGCAAAACTCAAAAATACTACAAATATTTTGCCTGTTGTTTGGCTTTCTAATTCTTATTGTTGCTTTCATCATTAGTAAAGGTTTGAGGTAAATTACAATCATGATTTCATGATTTCCCTATAATAGGAAGGTTCTGACCAAAAGGTGAGATTCCCTCGTAGTGGCATTACGAGCCATTAAAGGCAAAGACAGTAGAATAAATCCCAGAGTGAAAGTAGGGGAGGAAACACTTTCTAAAAGCTAATCAGGTTGTGGGGTATCTGTGTGGTAGAGGAGGGTATCCTCTCTTTTGAAATCAGTCCATACCTAAGAAGTAATTCTGAAATCAATGGAGAACACAGAATGGTAAAGGCATTTCTGTAACCATATCTAAAATAAAATATTCATTCTCCATTATATACACTATGTTAAACCTGACAGTCCTTAGTGAGAAAGCTCTTCCCATGTAAAATATGCAGGACTTAATGGACTGTGGGCATCTGACATTCATTTCCTATTAATCCACACGTACTGCTGTTCAGTTTTGCATGGCATGCTTGGGATGATTTGCAATGAAAGGGTAATTATAACTTTGAAGTTTTTGATGTAGGGTCTGGTTATTGTATATGGCATTCACATCTTTGTGAATTGCTGTGTATTGCCCTGGCATTATTTACATAATACCATCAGTTTTAAAGCCGCTTCTGTCAGTGAAAGCTTTGAAAACCACTAGAGAAGGAGTTGCATGGCTCTGTGAATCACCATAAGGAGGGTGAACCAGTACTGCAGAATCTTAATAGCAAATTAAAACCCATTTAAAATTCATTCACAGTGTTTCCCAAGGAGAGAGCGCTGGTTTTTGGAACTTTTAATGTGTACAGTCTTGTCCTGATGTCTGTGAGCCGTATGTGTATTTCGACAAGACGCTTATCAGGGCATAAATGTTCAGTGGTAAGCACAGAAGAGGCCTGCCTCTATGATTAAGCATTCCTTAGCTGAAAAAAACCACCATCACCCTGAAGCATCTCAAGTGTTAGAACATATTGCTGGTCCATCTTTATTAGTACACCACCCTATTTAAGCAGCTGGGTTGTTTTTTGCATGATCATGTATGACAGGCTTCACTGTGTATCATTATATTACTAACTTAAGGCAAAACAAACACCATTAACTCAAAAATAACCACCAGTACTGTAACTTTTATTTGCTAATAAATATCTTAATAAACAGGCTTACCCCATCTGTAAGACCTGATAATGCCTCTTAGGAAATCATAGAAAAATAAAATACAATAATAATCAATAACTTGTACTTTGTACAAAAATCTCATTATGTTGCTCAGCAGGTAGTTTTGCCAAACCCCATATTCTTGCTGTAAAGAGATGGTATATGTAATGCAATTCACCTTAAAAACACTCTAATGTTGAGAGCTGAGCATTCTATTACACTATTAACTTGTAGGCATGCCAGCACATGAAAATTTACATGGAACATCATATTATTGTAGGAATAGAATAATAATTAAAAAAAAAGAAGATAACACCAACTTTTCAGTAAATAATAACAACTTCACTTCTAATGTAAATTCCCCTTGGGACTGCAAATCGGTACAGTGAGCTTTTTATTTCACAGATATTCCTACAGTACTGTTATAAACAGGCAAAAAGGCAGAAAGAAAATGCAGTGGGAACGTGTATGGGAGATATATAAGAGAAGGAAAGTAATTGTGAGGCGGGAGGCAGTCCCAGGGGGAAACCAACGACACCGGCTGTGAAATGTTCAGTCTCCCAGAACGAGCAGATCCTGTCTGTGCTGTGCAAGGCTACACGAGTTCAGAACTGGTGGAGATGCAGCTCAGAGGTGCAGAACCCCCGGTACTGCAGTACCAAGGCTGCTTGGCTGTGAGATGAGTGGTGAAGACTGAGCCACAGGGAGCTGTCATTATTCAAACAAGCCTCAGTAAGAGGAAAAGAAGCAGTGGCAAAACAAGGGGTCTTTAAAGAAAAGGTGAGTTTCAGACTACTGGTAAGGATATGAGATCAGTGCTGAGGCCACGGTTTGTTTGTAAAATAGTTTGCGAGTATTATGATTATACCATTGCTTTTGAAGCCATCTACCTGTAAAGTTTTGACATGGCTGCTTAAATATATAATCTAAAGTGTCTGTCATCAAATATTTATTCATATTTACACATACATTGATACATTTTATGGCTATGCTAGAACAGCAAACTATGAAAAGCAGTCATATTTAGTTGTGTACAATCTAATTTCACAGAAGAGACAGAGATTAAAACCCCTTTTAATTCAGATACGTTTAAAACCAACACACAGAAATAGATAGAGGCTATCCTGAGAAAGCATACCAACCACGTTATCTTCCAAGAGTAAGTCAAAGCTCATTTTTGGAAGGTAGTAAAATATTTTTTTTGTATTTTTTTTTCTATGGGTCAAAGTGGTCTGTTTTTTCTAAAAAAAGTGATGACAAAATGAAAACAGTTAATTCTAACTTGATCATTGAATGCTGCTTTTCTACAAAATAAACTATTGCCTTTCAGTAAATAGGGTTTCACATGATCCTTTAAAGATTTATTTTTTTTCCTTGCTAAACTACAGGTGCAATCCTGAGAAGTGCAGAGAAGTTACTGAAGTCAATAGGAGTTATACTGCACCAAAGAACAAGCCCTTTTTGTGACTCTCTGGGTTTTCAGTCACACACTGCTGTGCATGATGTAACTGATACCAGCAGAGAATTTTGACATTGGCCTTAACAGAAGCCAGATGGAAGGCTCTAGGTGAGAGCAACATACTCTGAATCCAGTCCCTTCACCAGAGTTAACAAAGAAACACCTTTTCCCACTTTTAATATGAAATAAACCTCTCTACATTACTTAGAAAAGTTGGGAGATGAAATTGCTGCGGAAGAAATGCTGATAAAAATGCTACACTGCCAATTCAAATTAACTGTTTCTTGGGGACAGGCAGATAGGATATCATGGCCATAAGCTTTAAAATGCCTACAGGTTTACTTGCTGGGAATCTTGGAGTAGGATGGTTTTCTTGAGAAAGAGAATTAATGAAAGAATCCAAACAACGGGATATAACTAAGAGGGCATTAGTTATTTTATTTGCTACTGTGCCTTTCATTAACTGGAAAATCTCAAAACTTAGACTGCAATGCACTAGAAGTATGAGGCAGCTTGTTCAAAGAGGCAAATGCTCAGATAGGACTTCCATTGTGAGAGGGAGATCATATTGCATAATGGTTTAAGATTAGGAAAGAAGAAAGATAGACAAATCCTATTTGTTTTCTAGCTTCTGTTTATTTGGTGGGGGTGGTTATTTAATCCTGAATTTAAATCCAGAAGTCTTGGGAATTGTCTGGGGGAAAAAACCCTACAAACCTAAACCATTCATGTTAGATACTCTATTAGATGTGGAGATAATTTTAATTACTTATTCCAAAGTCAGAGTTGACCATTCCAGGTAAAACAACAGTGAAGCAACCACCTTTTGCATCTTGCAGTTTATTTTTCCCATGTTGAAGGCAACCATGGCCTATTTGATCACGTCCCTGAGGTAGTGGCCTTGTCTTTTAGGCTCAGTTCACTCTCTTCTCCCCCATTAAATGAGGTCATCCATTCCACACAAATCTGTAAAAACCTTTGATTCAAAACCTGTTTCAGTCTATTGACATCTTCTTATGGATATAACTGACTTTGGGTCATGCCCTGAAGAACCTAAAACACTTCAACAGAGAAATTGAAACTAGCAATCCATTGAAACTGGCAATCCATTGAAACTGGCAATCCATTTGAGTGACAAGACAGCACATGTCCTAATAAGAGCTGGTTCACCAACAGCAAATCAGCCTTGACAGTAGTGGGGTGAAGGAGAGTCTGTTTGGAGAGTTGAAGCTTACACACTATGTATGACATAGGGCTTCACCCCACTGCCACGGAAGTCAGTAGCAAACTCCCGTGGATATTGCCTGTTGACACAGAAACATTTAATTCCTCACAGTTAGATCACTGTCCCAGGAATTACCCTATCAAAAAGGTTATTAAAATCACTCAGCAGGATTTGGAAATACAGGGTGTTTTAGAGCAGAACCTTCCCAAGACAAAAATGGAACTTGTGAGTTTGACATTTAGTAACTGAAATAATCTACAGATTTGGAACACTGGCTGCCCTTTGTCTTTTTCAGCTAATCTACTGTACATAGAGACTGTGATGGTAAGTTTTACAGCTCAGAGCATTCAACTTCCTAAAGAAAAAAAGAATCCTATTATGCTTTTCCTTTTTGCTTCTTAATCATTTTCAAGTCAAGCTCGGCCTGAAACTCAGTTTGTAAACCATTCTTAACTGGATAGTTCTATTCTTCACTGTTTATTTAGGTTCCTCTCAAAAAAGTCAGTATGCAACAATAAGGACAAGTACTCATGGGTTACAGAACTGTGTCTGCTGGATGTTCTAATCTAAATAATGACAACTGTACCTGTTTTTTTTTTTTGTTGTGGACTGGATCCTGGAAAATCAGCAAGTAGATTTTTTTCCTATCACTCAGAGCGTTATGCAGTGATGATATTGTGAAAATACTCCCCAGACTGTTTCAGCGGGAACTTTTTCATCATCCACAACCAGAAATGAATATTTAGATTCCAAAGCAGATTTGTCCAAAATCTTATTTTTCAGATTCCAGATACAAGGTCAATTCTACACAGTCAAGGCCCCAGTCGTCACAGAGAGCTAGATTTCTCTTTGATTTGTGAGTTTTAAGTCCCAGGGGTTTGGCTTGCCTACCATGCTCAACATACATGCTGCTGCTTAACAGTTCTTCATTGAATTTTCAGTAATGAAGAGGTACTAGTATAATATTATGGTTTGTTCTCAAATTTTAACAATATCTACTCATATATCAAGAATACGTGCAGGAGATTTTGTGATGGGGTCAGTGAATATACTGGACTCCTCAAGGAAACTATATATGGTACTGAAGTTTGAAAGAATGACAAAATATGTTATCTCATGCTGCTTTAAAAATATTTTGTAGGAATTTTGATTTGCAAGTCCTGCTCATGTATATGGTCCCATTTCAAATCATCCTTCTTATATGAAATAAGCTGCAGAAACACATAAGTGTTTACAGATTCAGGAGTTTCTGAGCATGGCACAGCACTTAGATTATTACTGATATATGTGTGCAATCAACTACTATTCAAAGAGCTCAGATAGTTTGATATAGGTCAAAATTTTGGATGGGAAGAGAGAACACGTGTGAAAACCTCAAATTACTTTGAGACTGATCTTTTTAATATATTTTTTCCCCTGTGTCTTCAGTGTCAGAACTTGCATTTTTTATTCCAGTTTAATTACACAGGTATGAAAAGTCAGATAATATGCTAAACTTTTGTGGAAGAGAGAGGTACTTGGGAAATCTCTTTCAGGAAATAAAGGTACGAGATATTCATGTGGCATATTTAAAGAAACATAGACACAAATAGATTTCACTGAACTGACATTACATTATTTCACATATAAAATATGGAAATATATTTTAACTCATCCATTTTTCAACCTTATGTTTTTCATCATTTTTGTTAGTTTTCCTTTCTAAAATGCAGTACATCTTTTTCTACTATATGCTGGCGTATCCTTACTCATACTCCCTGTAAAGTTTCCCTCATTTTAACCTCCAAAGTGTCTAAAAATGGCTACTTAAAAGAAAATAATTTATATACTGCTTAAACATCTTTGGTGACTTCAGCAGAGGAGCCCAAACTTTTTATAGCATGGACTACATCTTATTATAATAATAATTATTATAATAATAATGCCTCCCCTATGTGATCACTGATTTCTACAGTAATTAGTTGTTCTCTGGAAGGGAACCAGTAGGAAGGGGTTGGGTGAGGTGGCAGTAGAAGGGTAATCAGCTTTCTGTAAGCCAGTTTGAAAATGTTTTTTTTCTGCCAGTGAAGGAAAAGAGAGGCTGCCCCTTTCTAGATAATAAGCCAAGGAATTTTGGGAAGAGCAACATACATACAGTGCATGCCATTAAACATTTCAAAAGCCAGTGGAGCAGATCAAACCCATTATTGTTATTGGTAATAGGTAATTAATTTGTAGGTTTGAAAAACCTCAGACATGATGATACACATTATATTTACAGTTCTTTATGTACATATAGACAAAAGTTTTATAACCCTAATTTGCTTGCCTTATCCAGGTTCATAATCTGAGGAACTATATACAACCATAGCACTCATGGATGAGCAGTGTGCACCACTAAATACAGTATTTGATGGTAGGAGATGTGTGTGAGCTGTGAGTACCTGCAACTCTCTTATACAACTCTTTTGTGGTTTTGTTAGAGCTCCTTGGCATGACATGGACAGTTCTTCCCTTTTTACTTTATTGTAGGCTTTAGGGATTCTTTTTTCCTTTTTCAGTACTGATTCATTTGTCTCTCCAGAAGATTTCAAGATCATTGTCCTACTAAGAGTTAGCCCAGCCCAATATGTCTTTCCCTCATTCTCAAAAAAAAAAAAAAGAGAGTACTATTATAAAAAAAGAAAAAATTATCCTTGCCATTTTTTCAAGAAAGATCAATTACAACTGGTAAACAAGGGTATTCTGGAAGGAAACTATTTAACAGAATACAGTGCTCTTCAACCATGTGCAAATGCCATAAGTATCTCTATTTGTAGTACTGTCCCTAGAAGATGCAATGGAAGACAGACTTTTTATTATGACCATAACTGAAGATATGTTGGACTGGATTAGAAGTGAGTTGTCTGTGCTGATCCAGTCCCATGGGGTCATTCTGACATGGAAATTGCTGAGATTAGTAGAGTCTCAGGGGGCACCTTCACAGTCCCAGCTACTGCACATGGTAAATCTCAACTACACCTGGATAAAGGGCATCTGTATGTTACTTATGACCCACCTTTGGATCCTGTAGGAATCTGAACTGAAAAAGAAATTATTGAAGCCCATGTTAGGCTCATTATGTAAAAAAATGGCAAATAGATAGTCTTAAATCATGTGAAAATCAAAGTACTGCAGTCTGTGAGTTCTGTGCCAGAATAATCCAACTAACACCTAGCACAATTCTGGAGAAGAATGTTTGTCCAGAGCAATTACTTTATTTGAATTAGTTGTTGAGTGCACTGATTGAAATTAAAGGATTGCCTTATGCTGAAAAGTCCTGGCTGATGTCCTAAAGCATAGCAGGTGTCTAAGCTTTTATTGGACAGACACTGAATTTATGTTCCTGGGAAACAAAAAGGATAATTTTGTTTAAAAAAAAAATTTAAGTTACGTCACCCAATTCTCTTCCTTTCACCTCATGGCATCCTATTGCTTCTCAGTAATTCCAGTGTGGAAACACCTCATGACTAAAATCTACTAAACCTTCTGCTATGATTTTTTCAATTTTAACGTCAGCATTATGAACAAGATCCTCTCTTTTTCACAGGTTCAGCATAAGGACTGGATACAATTATGGCATGAGATTCATCTGACTGAGCACAGATGGCTGGATATGAGCTATCACTGAATGCAGAGAAACAGGTGCTTCTTTAGCACAATTCATCTAACCCAGAAGTAAATAGTTTTATTTATAGATAGATAGATAGAAGATAGATAGATAGATAGATAGATAGAATTTTCAGATGACTCACATCTTACAGGAGCCCACTTCGCTGATTAAAAGGGAGCCTCGGGTGACCAGCTCAAATGCAGACCTCCAAAATTAGGTCAGAAGGATTCCTCCCAGCAGGTCTCAGGTCTCTGACTGACAAGTGGGGGTAGTAAGGATGACTGATATGGTTTCTAGGTTAGATGACCACCCCACTTGGCTGCATGTCCAGGTTGGTTGTCAGTCAGCTTTGGAAGCACTGGGATTGGCCACACAATGGAAAGGGGTGGGATACACGTACCAGCCAAGAGACACTGCCCTGGTCCTGCTCAGCAGTCAAGGCCCTCACTTAAGCTGTCTTGGAGGCTTAAGTGATACACAAGTATCACTGGGTGGTAATAGTGCCCATAGATGATTTTATTCTAGATCAATGAAATCAGAGCTGTGAGAAAAATCTACACATGAATATTACTTTATAAATAACTTAGAATAATGTCTTTATGATGCCCACAATTTAATGCCTTTTTTTTTGTTGTTGCTTGCATATCACACACGCTTTATTTTGTGAACTTTCAGTGACTGCTTTTAGTCATGAAGCGCTCAGTAATGTGGGCCAGATTCTCAGAAACAGCCTACTAAATTTGCTTAAATTTGTGAAATTTAAACTCCAACTGCATACTGCAATATGCAGGATAATTAGAGCTAATTTTCACCTGAAGAAGGTATCCACTGTAACAAAGAAAGCTAGTCTAATTTCACATATACATTTGTGGCCTGCACAGAATTAAGCTCACATTTGAAAAATAACACCTGTTATGTTTTTGTTTGTTTTTAAATGATAAAATAGGAAAGAAACCCCAAACCAAGAGTAGACTTGGACTCAGCACAAGAGCAAATAAAATGTTTCCAAAATGAGGAAAATATAAATTTGATCAAGATAACTATTATAGAAGTGTCATACTGCACCACAACAACAACAGAAAAACAAACTGTATAAACTCACAAAATCCTGGATTTACAATGTTATTAATAAATGTCCTCACTCAAAGAATCCCTTGTTCCTTCCTTTCTGGTTACCCAAACACTGGTTATATAAAAAATATATCTGATTAATAAATGTTTTAATATTGTTATATTTTTTTTCTATTGAAAATATATTTTCAGTAGTGTGATAAATTTAGAAATATATTTTCATGAAATATATCCAGGTTGTGTGCATGTAACAATGTCATTCTGCCAACCCTCACTACCAGGAATGAAAAATCTTTCAAAAGACAATCTGAAAGTGCACATACATGGTTTGGATCAGTTATGGATGGTTTTGAAACCCCATTAACAAATAGCAGACTCGTACCTCATCAGTAATGTATTTAATTGTGGGAGAGGCTTCTTCCACACGTCCCATTGTTGGCCCATGGAAGCAATGGCAAGCAAAATGGATAATTAAATGACAAAGGAAAATCAGCTTTCAAATTACTCTGGGCTTCAGGTAAGTATGATTTTCTTTCCATAAGAGAACCTTTACCAAAAAATTATTCAGATGTGGAATCGGGGTGGAATATTTCAAGCGACAGTCACAGGAAAGGACAGATACTTTTTTCCCCCAACTAAAGGCCTGTGATCCTGCAAAACACACATGCTTGTGCAGTCCTACTGAGTTAAGGGGGACTGCTCATGCTGGCAAAATTACCTTTGTAGCTAGAACAGGACTGGAGCTTGTTTAAACAAGCCCTGCTTTAAACAAGTTCATCCAATTGGCCTTGTGGAACACCCTAGTGAATCTTGATCTTTGTGAAACTTGCTCCTGCTCATGCTGGCAAAATTACCTTTGTAGCTAGAACAGGACTGGAGCTGCTCTGCTTTAAACAAACTCATCCAATTGGCATTGTGGAACACCCCAGAGAATCTTGATCTTTATGAAACTTGCTCCTCAGTTAAATCTGCCTTTTAGTTTTTTTTTAAAGGAAAGAAAGGAAAGTTTACATAGTGCACTGTTGTTATCTCTTCTAAATTAATGCAGTTATTCCAAAATAAAGTGACAACACCGAATCAGGCCTAGCGTGTCTTACTCTGTGATCTGGTTGGAAGCATTATCTTTCTTGAGTTACTTTCTGATTTTTGTTCTTTGCCACTGATACGCAATGGCAGCCTTTTCCAAGAGCTAGGAAATACATTTACAAGCTGCAAATTAAGCGGTAAATATTGTTATGATTACATAAAGTAGTCAGATAATTTTGATATACACACATACTATACTAATTACCCAAGATGCACGTTTCAACAGAAGAGTTGTAAGGCTCGAGTATACTGGAATGCCACATAACTCAAAAATATCCTCCAAACCACGTATAAGTCAACAAAAAGCATCTGCAGCCAGGTTACATGTGACATGCATTGTAGATCTGTGTGTGGTTTCACAGCACACAGACATGCGGTCGCTCCCTTGTTCCCAGTAGTGCATATCCCATGCAAAAATTTGGAAGTGTAGCCCAGCACGTCCATGTGAGTTGTCTGAATAAAACATGAAAGCTGTAAGTCTTAAGAGAGGTACAAATATTATGTCAGGCCTTTGCAGACGTTTTCTTGCATGTAAATATGGCTATTGAAGGGTTCTAAAGGTAATTATCATGGATGTCCTTTAGATATTTGTACTAAATGAAGATCCAGCCTGTAGTGACCAGAGCTCCATTTCAGCAGAATCTGCTTTTTCACTTCTAAAAGCAGTCAGAAGCAGAGTCAAGGCAACATGTTGCCACACTGCTGTCCTACATCTCCTTTCCTGCCCATGTACAAGATAACTGAATCCTGCAGCGTGTAACTTCCAGCATCAGTGGGTGGTTGTACCGCTGCCCTCAGCTGGAGGAGGACACGGCTGGCCTGCTCCCATGGGAATAACCACATCACCCCACTGATGGCTGGCCCTCTAAGGTCTGCTACTGCTGCTGGGAATTATGCCCAAGTCCAATCAGCAGAGACCTGCATTTCTGGAACAGAAAGCTTTCTAAAGTCTGAGTGGCCACAATACAGCTGACAACCGTGTTTTACATGTGGTCATGGAAATGTTACAATCAGTTTTCTGGTGAATATTTGCCATGTAGTAGAAGCAAATGCTGAGTATTACATTAAAAAAAAAACCAATGAAGGATGGTGAGGAATCCCAGGGATGAACAAGTTTTCCAACCTAATCATAAAAATTTAAAGCATAAAAAGTGTCGAGTGCTGAAGTAATTAAAAATCAAGGACCTTCCTTAAGATTTCAAACAGATTACTCTCATTATCCTTCCAATTATTCACACAATGAAAACTCGCTACATAAAATCATCAATCATTTCTTCAAACAATAGTAATATTTTGAGGCACCATCTCACCAGCTTTCAAACTATTATAAAGTAATATGATAGGACCCATACATTTGGATTTAATTAAGAGATAAAATAAATATTTATGTTAAACTTCTTTTTGATTGCACATTTGGTATTGGAAGTTACATGGTCACAGAACATGAAAGAAGTCAAATACTTTTTTGATCTACCAGCAAACTCTAAATACATCGATAAAGAAGCCACACCAGGCCAAATAGATTACTACTTTCAAGTAAGTTCATGAAAGTTTCCCAAATACTGTTATACAAAGTTACACATCCATGCTGAGTTATTCATCAATGTGTAGCAAGAGTCTTGCAGTAGGCCAGGATTTTATCGGCAGATAACTGGTGGAGGAGCTGTGCAGTGTGATTAAAAACTCCGGTTTGGAAGCATTATCATTGAAGTACTTGTAAAGTCTGAACAGGAGACTGCAGTCCTCGAAGTTGGGAAGAGCAGAAGGAAAGAATGAGAATATTTTTCCATTTTAGAAATGCTGAGGCACAAAACACAGTTGGTTCTAGTACTTTCATACATGAAATCCTTTCTCCTGTATGTGCATCATGTGTAACCGCAAAGTCTGTAAACTGCTGACTATTCGTCTCTGGTGTCCAATGAGTACAACTCCAATTCTTCTAATGTCACTGCAAGATAGAAAGTTTCATCTTGGATGCAAGTATAGTAAAGCCTGTTGTACACAAAAGAATATAAATTTATGATGAACTTTTTTTACCTTCCTGACTGGGAAGCTGTAAATGTTCAAGTTTTCTTGACCTGCCAACTTCAATTTTTTAAAGACAGTCATTTAAGAAAAAGAATCTAATAAAAAATATGCAGTTAGAACACTGGGGCTTTTGTGATAGTAACCGTCAAGTAATTTTTCCAAGTCTTGAGGAACAACCTGGGAGGTGGGTTCTAAAACGCTTCACATTTTTAGTAATGTTGTAGTAGCAAATGTTTCCTACTCATATTTGCAAAACATTGGGGCTGATACACTCACTACTGCAGTCCTGAGACAGAAATAACAGACAGAGGTTGTGCTTCTGATGATTTGGGGAATGGTAGTGAGAGATGGTCTAAAGTCAAACCAGCAGTGAATCTTCCAGCCTGATCCAGATTTCCCTCCCAGTTTCCCTTCATCTCATCTAGACCTGTGACCCAGAGCAGGGAGCTCACCCACAGAGCTTTGGCAGGAATGAAGTCAAGAACCCTCAGAGTTCACCACAATCCACTAGTTTAGTTGTTCTGTAAACATCCCCAGCTGCAAGATGCTGAGAAAAGACCACAGAGGTGACGAGGGCAGGAAACTTCATATATGCCTTGTCAATTGTGCAAATCCCACACTGTGACATACATAGACAGTGCTTGTTTAGATATCCTAAATGTTTGAGGATACAGCTGCTAAAGGAGCTCATGGGGTGAGGCATGACCTTTATGAGCTTCGGATTTTCAGTTCAAGATACCTGCCTCTGTATCCTCCAGATGAAGGCCCAGTGGATAACTGGCAACTATTATGTACTTAGGCTTAATGTCCACGCGGAGGATGATACACAACACTTGAGGTCAGCAGGGGCTGGGCAAAGATACTGAGAATCTGAGAAGCTAAAAGTAGTCAGCTAAAAGAATAAAGCTTTGTGGTGGAGAGTAGTATTAGAAATGCAAGACCAATGCTTAGCACTTATCAAGGAAGGCCTGATAAAGCACAGAAAGAAGTCAGCAGGTCTTGGGTAATGGAGGTTATTTGAAGAAAGAAGGGATCTTTCAAAAGATTGAAGTAGTAGCTAAAGAAATAAAGGATGATAACCTTAGATTATCTGTAAAAGCACAGTAAGGCAGGCTAAAAGAGAACTTCAGGAACAAACAGAAAAAACCCCCAACAAATGAAGTAATACCAAAAATAAAAATCATAATAAATATTTTTGCAGACTCACTGGGTACCAGAAACCTGCCAGAAAGTTTGTAGAATCTAGTGATGATTTGAGTATAAAAGAGCTCTGAAAGACTGGCCACTGTTGGAAGACTAAACCATTTATTTGTGTTGGCATTCACTGCAGAAAAAATTGAAGTGACTCCTCTGCCAAATCCTTTCTGGGGGACTTGTGAAGTATCTGTCTGAAGTTGAGGGGAGGTTATAGGACAAACTGAAAAACAGGCAAAAACCCACCTCCAAAACGAGACTATATTTAGCCAAGAGTTCTAAATGATGGAACAGTGGAACAGGATGAAATAGTGGAATCACTAACAGGGATGTGAGAGCAGGAGTTTATCAGCTGTGTTCCACATGCTTAAAAATTTCTTGGTGCCTGAGACATGGAGTGTGGTGCCAGACAAAGTGTTTCCAGGGAAGATCTGTGGAGCCGCAGACCTATGAGTCTGCAATGACAGGGCATAACAGAAACTACAGTAAAGCAGGGTATTATTGGATGCTTGGATAAATGATCTACCTGACTCACCATGGCATTTGCAAAGAAAAGTTCTGTTTTAGAAAATTACCTGTTTCCAGTGAAGCATATGTATGGATGAAGGTGATTCATTTGATACACCTCACTTGGCTTTCCAAAAGCTTTATAGAAGATTCCTCATAAAAGCTTTATAATGAAAATAAGGGGCAATTATTATGTAACCCAAGGTGTAGCAAAATATGTAGCATAAGGTAGCCTTTGTGTGACTAAATTACAGGTTTAAAGACAGGAAGTTAGGAGTAAATTGTCAGGTATTACAATGCTGTTATTGATAGAAATCTGCAGGCACCTATGCTGGGATAATGTTGAACATTATTGTTCAACAAATTAGTAAATGGTCTGGAAAAACAGGTGAGCACAGAGGTAGAAAAGTCATCTGGTGAGACTGAATTGTTCAGGGTAGGAAGGGAAAGGACTGCCTGTGAAGAGTTTTAGAAGGATCTTAGAAGACGATGACTGTGCCATAAAGCAGCAGATGAAATTCACTGTAGGTGAATGTGAAGTGACACACACAGGAGAAAACCAGTCCTTACCTCCCATGGACAACTGGTGAATCTTAACTGACCCCATTATTAATACAGAGTGTCCCAGCATCAAATAAAAGATTAGGAATTAATGGGAAGGGAATAGAAAGTAAAATAGTTCCTATCAGCATGCTACCATATTAATCCATAGTTTGCCCAAACACTTATATGGTGGGTGCAGGGTTTTCATTAAAGAAACAATTGAGTGGTATCAGACATGGTTGAAAAAGGGCCTCAAGGTGTGGAACAACTTCCTCATGAGGACTGATGTCGACTTGATGACAACCATAACAAAGTAAGAAATTATTTTTGCCATTGACTTCAGTGGTCTAGATCAAAACTTATTCCCCAAGAAACACACTCACTGCCTGGCCTTGGATATGTTTGGTGTTGTCACAGAATGAAATTATTAGTTCTGGGTCTCTTCATCATATATTTCTCTTGTGTTGTTTTGGTAAAAATCTGTATTTGTCTTTTGTTAGTTGAGGTAGGAAATGAAATGAAAGCCCTGCTCCATACTTCACAATAATTATGTCACTGCAGCATCCAAATAAATTCAGATTGATTAGTCATTGTAGGGATAATAGATTACATACTTACTCAATATTCATTCTTGAGACCATATCCAAAGTTGTGAAACCTGCTGCCATGAAGTTATTTTTATACTGACCCATTTTTATGGAGTCCAGCCAGTCACTGACTGACACAAACAAAGGATATTCTGGAACTTCACCAGGTGAATCTGGCATTCTGTAAAAAACAAAATGCAAAGGTTACCAAAGTAGTACAAAATATGACACCCAATTTACTCTGGTAGACATTGTTTTTACTGAGAGGCAGAAGGAATGAGAGAGGAGCCTGAGCTGTAAAGGTCAGATATAAACTGAAGATTTCTTTAACCTGTTGTCTAAAACTTATAAATCATGTCAGTCTGCCAAGTTACACTACTTAAACAGAACACTTTGTTAAAGAACTGCAGCTCAGTAACAAGCTGAGGAAAAGGCCTCTCCCACTGCTCTTATTTTTGTTCCCACAGAATGTTTCTTTACACATCATTGTGTTCAGGATTATAGTAATTTGTTAATGCAGTAGTCAAAGTAGAGGACAAAGAGAATTTAACATGAGGTGCAATTTAAAAAATTAGAACACCATGAGATGATTTTTACATTTATCTACAGCCCCCCCGCCCCCAAATGGCTCCTTAGTCTGATACCATTATGCTACAGGAACACTTTGATTACAGCATTCAAAAGCTCAAACTCACCCTAAAAGCACCAAAAAGAACAAAATGTTATATCTTTGCTTTTACATAGAATTATATAGAGTAGCAAGTAAAAAATGAAGGAGCTAATTTAGTCACATTTCTGTTGGAGTTCTTTCCCCCAATATTTTCCATATATCTGGGATATATTTATCTGCAATAAACAGAAAGATGGGGGAAAAATGATTCCAGTTTTGGGGCATTTATTTCTATTCTTCTGTTGTATACCACACTTGGGAGGACTCAAAACTTCAATTGACTTCCTGCATTTTGTGTAGAGAAGCTGTATGAACATAATGCAGAAAACAGGCACACTGCTGTTTATAAAAGCTTCATGTGAGCCTTTAGGAGAAAGATAGCATTTATTTAAAATAAAATTTTAGACAGCAAAAGCCAGCCAACATTAACTGATGGAAGAGGACTTATGTGCAATGTAGGAAGCAGCAGAGCCTAATGTCTTAACATCCCAAGTTTCACTCACACATATTCAAATACATTAAGTACACTGATTGTCATTTGTACTATCAAAATGATAGAGGGAGAAACTGAAGGACAGGAGAACACTGTTAGGTACAAACTGAAATTAAAGACCTACCAAGATCCCTTCCAATCTGAATTACTCTATGTATAATTCTGTAGAATAACTGCTGGCCTTCTAATTTACCCATAACACAATAATCATTCAGACTGACTGCATCAAGCATTCTCAAATTATTGGAAAAACCCTTGATTTTCCAAGCAGTTGAACTCAATAATAGTTCAATAAGGCATAAGTTTTTTAGATCTTGAGTAATGTTGTAAAAGAAAAAGAGATAAAAATACATTACTCTGATGCTAAATAAAGTGACCCAGGTACAGGTAGCAAGTCATGTATATATATCTCTATATATATGCACATACACATAGAGGCCACTAACTCTAGTGGATGGACATTAAATCCAACAAGTCCCTATCAAAAATCTGTTGTGGAGTAGTAATAGCACAATTTCTTATTTGGTCACTGTTACCATTCTTCTGCAGATAAATAAAGATTTAGCAAGCTATGACACAACTACTTTCTGCAGGATATTACTCCAAGGCAGTTCAGAAATTGCTTGAGCACTGTTAGGTGGAGAGACAGGCTGTTGACTAGAGAAAAAAAATTACAAAGAGAAAGCAAACACATAGGAGAAACACCAAAAAAGAAAAAGAAAAAAAACAGGAACAAAGAGATTCACAAAGATTATGGATATAGACAGTGTACAAACAGAGATAAAAACCCCCAAAACCTAATATAATCTGCATGACTTGAGAAAAAAAGTCCCCTTACGGTGTATTAACAATAATGCAAACATTAAAAGATACTTAAAGTTATAACTTTGTGAATCCAGGGCTTTGTGGCTTTCTCCCACCTAAAACACATAATGATAGCCACTTGTGGTATATCTATATATCTATATATATATAAAAAAGTACCAAAAAGAGTCTTACACAAGTACATCCTCCACTAGGGTGTGAAGGGTGCTTGGATTGCGGATCAATTTGTCCAGGAAGCTGACAATGTCACTGAATTTTGGACGGTGGTTCCTCTCCTTTTGCCAGCAGTGAAGCATTAGTTGGTGAAGAGAAGCTGGGCAGCCCATGGGAGCTGGAAGCCTGTAGCCCTCTTCAATAGACAGGATAACCTAAAGAAATACAGTGCATGTGATTACTGGGTATTAAATACTGAAAAGACAGTGGGAAGCTGACAATTAGAAACCAGTGATGATAAATAATTAATGGCACAGCCACCCTCGCTTTGTGCATCGCTGGGGCCTCACTCAGGGGATCAGGACTGGCAGGAACGTAACCAGAGTAGACACAAAATATTTTGTAGGCGTATGAAACACGGTAGGCACTTTTTTAGGCTCTCTGGGCACCCTCTTCAAACAGCTAAAAAAGGAGGAGGAGAATAAAGAACTAACAAATAGATAATTTTCATCCACTTTAGGTTGACTTTGTACTGAAGGGAGTCACAGGGCCACAAACTAACCTGGTGTGGCCACTGCTACCATCATACTCTAATATTTGCATCCTGACAAAGTGCTGGTGTGTGGCAATTTCACAATACAGTCAAGCACTAAAACACCTGACAAATTTACTTGGTGATGACATGTTTCTGCTGACCCTTAAAGTCTGATTAATTCAGGCAATGTCCCTCACACTGAGTTAACAGCGACATTATTTCACACAGCTTCCCTCAGAAACCTGGGTTGTGCAAGGTGTTTATGACTCAACAAAAGTTACTAAAATTGTGGTATTATTGCATACCTTATGGTATTCAGATTCAGCAGATGTAGGAAACATGTTTGGTCAGGATTTGGAAAGAAACGGGTCTAATGTCACAGATAAATCACATGTATGAAAAATTGCAATTGATCAGAGTTGAAGGAAGGCTCATTTTTAGTAACACTAAACACTGAACACTAAAGTAGAAAAACACATTGTCTGAAAAGAAGAGTAGCAGCCCTACCTGACAGGAAGTAGTAAAAGTAGGTAAGATCCATGGAAAAATTCATAAAAGCTTACATGGATTCATTCCATGTAAGATTTAAAAACCAAGAGAAAAGGTCCCTAGATTCTGCAATGAGTGGTGGTAGCAGTGGGGATGATGATACAAATTACATAGTCAGGATTTTTTGCATAAAAAAAGAATGGGAAGCTACTAAGTAGTTGACCAAAAACAGAGCTAGGAATAAGACCAATTCATAACCCTTCCACATAAAAATCCAACCCACGCTAAATGTTTTCTAATGTACAAATGATTGTACAAAATATTTCTAATAAGGCACTGCACTTAGGAGAAGCAGACCTACAGCATTTATACCCACTCTGCTGTAAGGAGACATCCATCATTTCCACACAGATGTATGTACATGCTGCAGACATATTAATGCAGCCGGAAGGGGGTACATTAAACTGTTTACAGCAAATCAATGTTTTACAGCACTAGCTCTGGCTTCAATATATTCAATCTTATTTTCCTGGAATATATCCTCGTTCTCTGTTTGAATTCTGAATTAATGCCGTTGGCTCTGCTTAGCAATGCCTAATGCTTATGCTGCAAGCGTTATGCAAATAAAATAAGAGTAATGAAGCTATGTTAGGACCTTAGCTCCCCTCCATGGCATGGCAGAAAATGGAACAAGGCTTTTGTGGCTGTGCACAGCTGGCTGTTTGACTTTTATAAAATTAGGTGACTTGGTCCTATGTAGGGTTTAGCCCTCTGGTATCCTGGTAAAACACCTATGCATGAAAAGCAAGTGTTTGCAACATGGATTTGCACAGGCTGAGTTTTAGACCCACTGGGAAGTCTGGGCTACTCCAAAGGCAGCATTCCTTGCTGTAGGGATCTCTGAATTTGCTTCACCTGTGGGTGTTGACAGGTCACATAACGTGCAGGCAGGACTGGCTTTGCACCCCAGAGGTGACACCAAGCAGTAAATGGTATGTCAATACGCTGATCCTTCCCTCTGCCTTTCTGGCTACTTGTTGGGATTTATTTCAACTCTCCAAAATCCGTTTGCTGGAATAGCTGCCACAGGAAAAAGTGCCACCGGATTGCCAGGGAAATATTTGCCTCAAAACCTTGTCTGCCAATAACAGATATGCTCCCGTAGACCCAGGGTGGGTGAAATTCAACCCCATGTACGTGAAATTTTATTCACATTTATTTTTACATTTATTATTAGTGTATCTCAAGCAGTGGCCTCATAAAACATGGGTACTCATGACAGTGAGGGATACAGCCGAGTTGACACTCACTAAAGAGGTAATCTTTAGCAGCCCAGAAACGCAGATATCATAACCTTTACATTTGCCTGTTGCAAATGATGAATTTATGAAATGTATGTTGTTTTTAAGGCAACAGGAAACCTGCTCTACTTTTATGAGACGTATTGCATTTACTGGAAACAACAATAGAGGGCTGATGAGTTTTTTTCTGAAATAATTTATTCAGGAAAAACCCAAACCCAACTATAATTTTCCAGGCATATTTTCTCTGACACACTCTATTATAACATATCTTTGAAAATGAAGTTACAGTGCATTTTGTTTCCTCTCTTGTTCTAAAGGAACATTTCGGTATGAAGAGAAATGCCAGCTGGTTCTGGGATAATTATAATTTCTCATTGATAGCAGCACATTTAAAAAATAAACTCCAAATATTGCCTCATTAGTATCTCTTGTGAGGCAAGTATTATTTTTAGAGTCTAAGAAGCCAGAGTAAAGATGTGATAACTGTATAGTACTGCAATGGTAATCAAGTCTCAAAGGAAGATTTTTTTTAGTTCCTTATTTGTGTTTTTATATATTTATTTTAGCTCCTGCTCTGCACCTGTCTTTCCGAACAGAAGAATTAGATATCCACGTACCTAAAAGGGAAGAAATACTAAATTTTTCTCAGTAATATAACATTATATGTTATATAAATCTAAAGATAATACATGTTCACTCATTTGAAATGAGTTTTTTCCTTGCCTATTTAAAATTGATGAAAGACCACATTAATCATGAGATGGTCTAAACAACTGCATCTACAAGGAGGACACAGCAGCAGCTTTTAGCAATGGGTGTGACCCTTTCCACAATGGCAAATCAGTGCCCCACCTATTTCAACACGGAAGAACAGGAACATGAGCTTGGTTTCTGACAACAAAAAGGCTGATCACTGCTCTCTGGTTCTGGTTTTGTGGAAAACACTTGATGGGTATCAAATGGAAAGGGAATATTTTTTATGGTTAACATAGCTAATTATTTCCATGCTTTTTCATGCTTAGGCTTTTGTTTCTATAAAGGGGACCATTTTTTAAATATTTTTGTATACAGATGATATTAAACACTGGAGCCTGTTCAATATCTCTTATCATTTTTTTTTAATGTTAGACATTGTTGTAAAGCTTGGCCACAGAGTTAATATTTAATGTTAATTATGATTGTCTGAACAATATAAAAATACAATATAAAACCAAAATAGTTTGAACAATATTTTATGGACTGCTACATAAAATTTTTGCATGTTTAATTTTGAAATAATTGGAAATTGGCAAAAATGGCACCTGAAAATAAAGCTGTAATCTTCCTGATAGTTTCATTATTAACAGTAACATAGAGTCTTGCTTTCAAAAGTTAACTGACAGATTTTTTAATGAGACTGAGACAGAAGAGATTCCATAGGGACATTGTCCCTGTGTCCTCTGACATCTGAAAAATCTACCAGAAGGGAGAGGCAGCTGCTCCTGCCTCATGGTACAGAGCCAATTCCAAGCACCTGCCAAGTGTTTTCATATCTCTAAGTTGAAAGAATTATATTAGGGTAAGGGTTTTTTTTTTTTTTTACTATTACAAGAAACTTTCAGGAGTGTAAGGAGTTTTATTCTTCTTGCTACAGTAGTTTTCTTGCATACCAATTGCAATCCATTAAATATTCTTTTTTTTTTTTCCTTTTCTTTTTGAATCTTGTAGCTCTGCAACATGCACTGATTTATAGAGTGGCTCTAACAGGTGTCCCAGGAGACTTCACTCACAGCTGTTCTACAAACCAAATGCATGGAATATAAATCTTCCTTCCCTCACATGAGCATTAGCAAGCCAGGCTCTTAGCACAATCTGTTCATCAGTACACTAGTTTCATTGGAAAGTTCAATATCTTGGCTAATGTTTATTAATTAAGCAATAAGACACGACAGACTGTGCAGCAGCCCTAATTAATGGACACCTCTGGTGCCTGCCACACATCTAAGAAGTGCATTAATCAGCACCAACACAGGTCGGAAGTGACTTACCACAATAATAAAATGGTTATTTACTTACATGAGAACATTTCTCAAGCTTAGTAACATTTTTAAGCCTCTGCATTACACTGTGTGAAGTACTAAAAATTTGATGAGCGGCATTTTCCAACTCAGATTCCTTAAGTTCGGCTTCCAAATCCTTGCTGAGGAATGTAAATGGAGAACACTGGATTTGCAAGGTGCGGAGTCGCTCTCTGGCTGGCACGGACCCAGTGGACACCTGTGAGCAACTGCAGTCTCAGAGCATCAGACTGGGTTTATTTAGGTGGCAGGTATCAGTTTAACACTCCTCATATCAGCTTGAGCTCTGTGCTGTCTGGGTGGCTCCCCTGATTTTATTGCTGTGACTGAAGGGTCAGCGATTTGTAAGATGGAACGTGAAAAATAATCCCCCAGAAAACCAGACCCAGGTCTGCGGAGTTTATACTTGGAAAACTTTTGTTAATTTACAAAAACCCACCCAATTCAATCAATACAATTCAATCAATATTTTACTGCTATCTAAGTAAGAATTTTATTATGATCAAGTCTCACTAGGTGTTGTAATGTTAATGTTACCAGACATTTTGTGGTAGCAGAACTATACTCATGCAAGACCTCATTGACTGCTGTTTGCATACTGTGCCTTTTATGAATCCATTTAGTGCTTGCCCCTCTCTGTTACTTTCCCTGTACAGTATCACTGACCTTTGAAAGTCCTATTATTTCTGCAAAATAAGCTCCTGTGAATTCAGGATAATTTATTGTGCTAAAAGAAATGTCCCAGTATCCAGCAAAATAAGCTTTACAGTATGTCTAATAACTTGAAATTTCCCAGTGACACTTTAAGTCACTAAATGTATGTAGAAGGTCACAGGTGCCCACTGTTAACATTCTGGCACGAAAAGCCTCTGGATAGGGCTCTGGAGGAAAGGAGTCCTTTGTGCTGGGAATTGCTGAACTGCAGGGAAAGCCCCCAGGAGTCGGCATCATTAGCATGAGCTGCATCCACAGGGCCTGCAGCATTATTCTGTTTTAGCAGATACTTCTATTTTGGATGTAGGAGTAATTAAATGTTGCTGTCTTCACGCTGTAGCTGATTATTTAATATATTCTAAATTGAGAGTTTACTTTATGAATTCTCACTGCTGGCATGGCCTTGAATACATCATAGGGTTTGATAGAGGGGAAGAAGACAGGCTGAAGCCAGCTTCCATGAAAGGGAGAGGCAGCTGGGATGAAGGTCAGCGTTATGCACTACTCATCCCTGGTGACTTGGACTTTATGTGAGAGTCCTACCAGTCATTCCAACCCTCTTCTCAGCAGGTGAATAGTGGGGATGAACAGACTTGACAGAAAGTCTCCCTCTGCCCCCATTCCTATTTAGTGGTAACAGCCAAGAGGTGTGCTGGGAATGGACCTGGTGTGAGGAGAAGGATTACCATTACAAAGAAATAAAAGAGGTGATGGCAGTTGGGTTCCTGGCTGAGAGTTGACCTAACACCAGATTAAATCACTCACAACTGGAATAGAGACTGAAATTCCCCGTTTACAGCACAAGATCAGGTGTCAGTAGGACACTGCCTGTGGTGGGTTGACCCTGCTGGATGCCAGGTGCCCACAAAGCAGCTTTGTCCCTCGCCCTCCTCAGCTGGGCAAGGAAGAGAAAATACAACGAAAGCCTCGTGGATCAAGATGAGGGCAGGGAGGGATCACTCAGCAGCCACCTTCATGGGCAAACCAGACTTAACTTGGGGAAAAACTGATTTAATTTGTAGTTGCCAATCAAATCAGAGTAGGGTAAGGAGAAATAAAACCATGTCTTCAAAACATCGTCTCCCTACCACTTCCTTCTTCACTGATTTAAATTTACTCCCAATTTTCTTTGCCTCCTCCTCCCCAGCGGCACTGGGGGACAGGGAGATGGGGGGTTTGTCAGTTCATCACATGTTTCTGCCACTCTTCCCTCCACAGAGGGAGGACTCCTCATGCTCTTCCCCTGCTGCAGTTTGGGTCCCCTGTGGGGTCACAGGTCCTGACAGCAAAATTGCTCCAACATGAGCTTATCTCTCCAAAGGGCCACGGGTCCTGCCAGAAGCCTGCTCTAGGGAGGGCTTCCTACAAAGTCACAGCCTCCTTGGGGCGTCCACCTGGTCTGGTATGGGGTCCTGCACAGGCTGCAGATGGATCTGTGCTGCATGGTGAGCCTCCACAGGCTCCCTCAATATGGTGTCCATCATGGGCTGCAAGGGAATCTCTGCTCCAGAACCTCTTTCTGCACTGACCTTGGTGATTGCAGAGCTGTTCCTCTCTCGTATTCTCACTCCTCTCTTTGGCTGCAGTAGCACAGTTTTCTTTATCCCCTTCTTAAATATGTTATCCCAGGGGTGTTACCACTATCACTGATGGGCTCAGCCTTGGCCAGCAGTGGATTGCCTTGGAGCCAGCTGGCATTGACTCCACTGGAGATGGGGGATACTTCTGTCAGCTTCTCAGAGAAGCCAACCCACTACCAAAACCAGGACACTCGAACCAGAGCATCTTCTTCCCTACCTCCTCCTCAAGCTGCAGCCACTGCCAGCTGCCCATCACCTGTGGCTGGAAAAACAGAGTTAGGAAGAGGTGACCTTGCAGTTTGGAAGCACTGGCATTGCACAGAAGCCAGGCACTATGGAAGGGCCAACTTTGCTCAGAAGTATGTCTGGTTTCATGGGTTCTTCCCTGGAGATACTCAAAATCTGGTCACAGACGGCCCTGAGCAAACTGCTTCAGCTGACCCTGTTTGAGCAGAGGGGCTGGACTTGGCCATCTCAAAGGGCCCCTCAACCTCAGCTGTTGTGTGATTTGCTAGTTCCTTTTCCCAGCTTCTTTTGTTCAGTCTTCCATTAAAAGAAGGCTCCCAGTGAAACATTGCATCTCTTAGTTTGGGAAGGCACAAAGTTTGAGGCTGTGTGTGCATTTTGACGCAACGTGCACTCCATGCAATGCAGAGTAATCAGGTTTTGCAGCAGCACACTAATGATGAAGGGGCTGATATAGCCATGGCTGTGTTCAGCTTTGTTTCTGATGGAAGATTACCTCAAGAATAACACCCTCTGCTATTGCATGGCTGCTAGTTTTTTTCTGTTTTGGATGGGTTCGCTTGGATTTCTTTTCTTTTGTTCCTGAAACACTCTGACTTTATTTTTTTAAACAAAAATCTCTCTCAGATCCTTATCCCCAAATGACTGATCAGCCTTAACAAGCAACCAGACTTGCAGAGCTGAATAACTTAGCAAGAATTATAAAAACAGCCATCTGGGAAAAGTCTTGTCAATTCTTCAGAACCAATGCAGAGGTATTCCAGGCATATATGTAAGAGAGGTTAAGGTGAGTTGGCTGATATTCCTCATTTTGACATAGAGATTGATGGCTGGTGTGAAGACTGAGTATACCAGTTTGAGCTGTCATGGGGATCCATCACAAAAGAGAACCTGTGAAAATTTAAATTGTGGTAGAGAAACCCCCCCACCATTTCATGCTTCTTTTTCTAGAACAAGCCTTCTATTTTACTAGAATTAAATATATATATTTTTTTAATTTTGAAGGCTTATTTGGCCACCACTTTTGGAAAAAAAAGTCAGAGGAAAACATAACTTAGATATGAAGTAGGACTGTTGTCCTGCACTGTGGTTAAGCCTATATGTAGACCTAAGGTGAAAAGAATGTGCTGAATTCTTAGAAAGGATAATTGGCAAATACATTTCTCATGGCAGCTTAATTCTTTTAGAATTTAACTATTGAAGGATACTGTTAGACTGTACTGGTCATAATGGGCCATCATCATCAGAATAGTTCCAGTGTTCCCATAAGTTTTGATTTACAGCTTACCTGAGAACTACATCAACCTGCCTGTCTGATGCAGATTCCCAGGGATTTGGAGGAAAGCCACACATAACCAGCATTAGAGCCTGGCAAGCTGACTATGACTCTTCATAATCTGTCTTTAATCCATGGTAGGAAGCTAGGCAAGCTTTTAGTTAGAGAGGGCCAAGTCTTCAGGCTGCATAAATGAACTGTCTCATTGAAGTTGACAGAGCGATGGTGACTTAAATAAGCTGAGATTCCAGCCCAGAAAGGGAACGAGGTGGCAAAGCAGCTCAGGGAGCGACAAAACTTTCAAGGAACATCTCAACAACTTGCAGATTGATTCTGGGCATTACTTACATCCTGGTTGGACATCTCCCAGTACGGTCTCTCACCGTAGGACATCACCTCCCACATGACAATCCCGTAGCTCCACGCGTCGCTCGCCGAAGAGAACTTGCGGTAAGCTATGGCTTCAGGAGCAGTCCACCTTATGGGGATCTTTCCACCCTGGAAAACGTGTTGAAGGCTTGTCAATATGACCAGAATAGGGAATGGCACATGTTTAAAAGAAAAGAAAAAAAAATAGTATCCTGGATGCTGAGATTCTATGTTCTGACTTCTTGTCAGTTTGCTGCAAGTGGAAAGGAAGAAATAAACTTCTTTCAGAATTGGATAAAAATTTAGTTTCATTTGTAGTCTAATTCACCCAAATCAGCATTTTGTGAAAGAAACCAAACCTCAGTTCAAAGAATAGAATGCATTTGAGATAATTCATGTTTGTTTAGTCATATAATTAGTTGGAACTCACTCTTTGATTGAAAACATCCCAAGCCTGAAATTCCTAGTTCATTGACATTTAAAATTTTACCTTATATGAAACAGAAGCGTCTGCTGCAAAATGGAACACTGAGAGCTCTTAATACTATTATGTAATCAGAAAGGAGAATATAGGCTTTCTATTGAGCTTTACATTTGAAAATATTTTCTAATTCTTGTTGTGCCCTTTAAATATCCAGCTAAATAGCAAACCAAGTGTGTTGAAAGATTTTAATAATATTATGTAATCAGAAAGGAAACGATAGGCTTTCTATTAAGCTTTACATTTGGTAATGTCTTCTAATTCTTGCTGTGCCCTTTAAATATCCAGCTAAATAGCAAACCAAATGGGTTTCTAATAGGCATTTCTTTAGAATATTCAATGGTTTCATTTTGCAGCTTTCAACTAAAAATCCAAGTGCTACCTCAAAAAAAAAAAAAAACAGACTGGAAATCAATCACCTTTTCTCTGACATTAATTCTTTAGACCACTGAATCTCTTCTATTCTCTTGTAATAATTTATGTATGAAAACTACATTCCCATTTCAGAGAAAGGTATTTCCTCTCCAGAAACATTGCCCTTTTCAAAAGTATATGTTTAATATCATTCTCATCGAACTCAAGTAGAGGGTGAGAGCAGTGTGCTGAAAGTGCCACTAGGTGGTAGAAGGAGGCAATCAGTGGAGCTGAGCTCACTCGGCAGCAGTTGCTTTCAACAAGCAGTAACAGATTCTGCTCAGCGTTATAATTGTATTTCTGACAGAAACAAAAGAAGAAACGAACTAGAACATCCGTCTGGCAATTGAAGAGAAGCCAAAGTTAAAAACAAGTATGTAAATCTCTGTTCATTTGCTTTGAATATATAAAAAATTGTCCTTGAATTGCTAAGGCCTCGCTCTGGCTGACTGAGAAGCTGTTTGTTGTACCAATAAATTGTTCAAAGGCCAAGCTCTGTGTCTGTGGTGATGTGTCACTAAGCCAACTGCTCCTCTTTGACTCTCACTTGCTGACAAAAAATGTATGGTTAACATTTATGTTGTATCACAGTAGCCAAGATGTCCTTTGTACCATGTTACATATTTTGCAGCTGCTTTTTTAAAGCCTCTGCTTCCTGACTTGTGGTAAACTGACTTTAGCAGTAGGAAGGTAAATGTAATTCTGTATTTTTTGCCCGAGTACCTCCACTACCCACCTTTTCCTAATCCATTAATCTAGTGGTCAGATCACTCCTCTGGCAGGTCAGAGGTGCAAAAGGCTTTATGCCCCCCCTGCTGTGTGTGATGCTCTTTGTCCCTTCCTGGTACAGCTGTTCTACTTGGGAAGCAATTACAAATGCTTTTTGGGTACCAGCATGAAGAAACAGGGTGACAAAGGAGAGCTGTGATAAGACATTCCTCAAGGAAAGATGAGGCTAATTTCTTGTTTCTTCCCCAGGAAATGCTTATATCTTCTAAAGAAATTGGGTAAAAGCACTTGGTGTTTGATCTCGTGGTCTGGTTGCAGTGGTGTTTTGGTTGGATATGCAAGTCCAGGCTTCCTGAGGGAGTGGAAAAATTAGCTATTCAATGCCCCAAATGTACACCTTACACTGGAATGTCCAACCCAAAGGATGTGTCCTCTGAGAAACAGCCAGTTTTAGGGTCTAACTGCAGAGTATAGTTCAAAGGATCTCCTCATAACACAAAGTTATGGGCCTCATCCTTTTTACTGGCTTGGGTTTAGTCCTTTATTTCTAACTTACATAATTCTCATCCTTAGTTTCCCGGCTTCTGCAGGTTTTTGAGGACATTAGTTTCCTGGCCTGCCACATGGTCATGGTAGGCATTTTAACTCCTTCTTTGTACCTGGATACATGCAGTTTTTAAGAGTTAAACAAAAATCATGGTGATCCACATCACAAAAGACACTGCCCTGACAATCCTAAACACCCTCCCTCAGCAGCAGCACTTGTTCCAACACAGGAGTTCACCATCTGAACCTTGTCTTACCAAGCAATCCCCCTTGGTGCCTTTTGCTTTATCCCCATTCAAGACACTTTCTGGAGTGTAGCACCAGTATTTGAGGGAGGATGCAGAAGAAAAAATTTCCATAGTTTCTTTCCTTGTCTCAGATCTTATCAGATCTCAGAGGATGACAGGTTAAAAAAATGTCTACCAGCTTAGGTGGTTAAGTTACTGTAAGACTTTGTTTATCAAGACAAACTAATCAATCAACAAATTTTCTATGTGCCAGATTCCTAATCTGGAGAGTTTTAATAATAATTCATTATTTTTTTAATTTTCATGGAAATTCTTATGTTAATAATTAAATACCCACTTGTAGGGAAAATACAAATCTATAAATGAAAAAAAGAGTCATTTTGATATTTATAGATTTTGCTCTCAATGTTTATAACATAGTATGAATAACATAAGAGGAAAACTGTCTTTAAACTATATCCTTTTCATAAATCTGATTTTGTATTCCCAAATTATACTCAAAAGGGAAGGCATATCTTGAGCAGCATTTGAAGCTAGCTTTGTGACTACTGGCTAAATATAAATGAGTTTTAAAGAATCTGATCAGACTCTACAACCAGTTTCATGATGCAGCTTTACTGACTGATCCCTTTTGGGCTGAAACAGTAGTGGCTCATTGAGTGTGAAAATGAGAACAGAATCTTAACCAAATTCAAGGCAGTTCACATTCAAGGGCACAAGATATGTTCAGTGTTGTAATGTAAAATAAAATCCTTTTGTGCTGGCTCTAATGACAAAGTGAAGCAAAACCTCTAAAATTTTTCCAATGGATTCATCTTGTGTATGAAGATGTTATGTTCATAAAAATGTAGATTTCAGTACTTAATTATGTTTGCAGAATACCTTTTTATGGAAAAAGGTTGTTTTATTTGTTGGAAAGCCATTCAGAAGGCAGAGCTTGCAATGTGACTACCTTAAGAGATGTATATGACTGAACAGCAGTAATAGCTGCTCATGCATAATAAAAGAACACATAAGGTTTAGAGTAGCTGAAAATATATTTCCTGTTTCTGATTAGAGTAATAAACAGTGTTACTGATATTGGATATGCCTTTTTACATTTTGATCTAACTGGGAAAATAATAAATGCAATACTGTTTACACAACGCCTCGCCTTCAAATTAAGGTAATTTATAAATCATCTACATTGTACCACTAGAGCAGTGAAATCTGTCACAGCTGCCCATATTAGAAAGCCCTTATGCAAGTCCATTTTGCTTTTATTTTATTCTCTCTCTTTTTGGGGGTGGGTAGGAGGGGCGGAAGGGGTGTTAGGAACCAAATTGTTTTTCTGCATCTTCTCATACATTAATAATGGTATCAGTGACAACCTAATTTTATTTCCACGTAGTGAAATAACACTAACTCTGCTATTCAAATAATTAGAATTCAGCCTTTTTTTTTCCTCCATGCTGCCAGCTGAACAGTGTCTATCTCCTGATTTTTTTTTCTTGATTGTAATTTAATAAGCAATTTTACTGTGCAGTGTCAAGCGTCCCCTTGGAATTAGAATATTAGGCTCACATTGCTTAGCTTGGAGAACTGCTCAGAGACCAGCCCTTGAAATGAAATTTGCCCCCTCACCCACACCTACACATGCTCACTTTCTCTACAGAATTGGCAACAGCACAGTTTGGCACACATTTAAAGGCAGAATTGGAACTACATGTTGCAAAACACCTCATTCTTTACCTCAAACTGTGCATGAAAGAATGGCAGCCTTCACAAAATGCCATCTTTTCTCTGAGCTGACAACACCAAAAAGTGCTTGTCATCTGTTATGTGGAAAAACTACAGGGAGACAACTGACACTGAGTCCCGCAGGCCATAACTGCAATTTGCTGCCTCCCATTTGATTTTTTTTTCTTATTTTACGTGTTAGACATCTTTCTGAAAACAGGAGGTATTAACAGTTCCTTTAATTAAAAATCTAAACATATTTCAAAGCTCCAGCAGAACAGTGTGCCTGGCAGCTGTGGCCCATTATCCTACCCAACAAAGGTTGGGATATATCAGCAAACTCAAAATACCTGATGTGAAGAATGACAGAGAGGGCACAGAAGCAAAGAAAGAAGCCTGTCAGATGTCCAGAACTTTTGGCATGCCCTGCTAGCTAATTAAAGTGAGGAGTGATGCCCCTGAGAACCTTACAAAGCTGAAGATAAGGTGGGTGAGCTGCTGCTCCATGTACACAGGAGCAGTCAGGAGCAGAGTGAGTGCATCAGGCTCATCATGTCCCAGAACCAGCAGCAATGTGAAATAAATGCCTGTTTCTGTTGAAAAGCCTGTTCTGTGTTTTCCTTGAATGACAGACACTGCAGAGCGACTGTCACAGAGCTGGCAGCAGGTTTCCTAAATGCTGAGGACCAAACCCATCAGTTCCAGATACACAGACATCTAGAACTGTCTAATCCCAGGAGAAAGGGTACTGAACTATGTGCACCATTAGTCTGATCTGGCACAGAAATTCCTATGCATCTGTCAGTTACTGTTCCTTTATGTATGGTGTTACTGAATCATGCAATAATTTTCCATGACACAAGTATAGTATCTGTCTTTTTCTCTACCCCAAAATGACAGAAATATGGAGGAAAAAAAAAAAGAGCTTCAAAGTGAAGAGGGACAAATGTAATGAAAGAGATTAGTTTTAAATATTGGACATAATTCATCAT